GCATTGCAATCTATAAGAGAAAACCAATATCAATTTCAGGTTCATTTCACTTTTCCTTTAATCCTCACCTCAAAGCGATTCATCCCCCATTAGATGATCGATAGAAAATGTCTATCCCCCTCTGCATTGATTGAAGAACATGATTACGAATATATCGAATCGGTCCATTGTATTGGTCCATTGTATTCGGAGCGAATCATCTAACAACTATTGTATCGAACTGCTCTGCATAAAATGTTGATACCTTATGGATTATTAGCTAACAAAGGGCTAGCTACCATCGCCTAGTGGGGTTTAATAATAATAATAATAGTTAGCTCTTATATAGCGCATTAATTTTAATTACTGAAGGTAATACCAATGCGCTTTACAAATGTAGAAGATAATAGAAATAAAGACATAATATAGAAATAATTACATATATAATCAAAACTTACAAGTAAGTAGGCATACAGTATACATTAGAAACATCGAAAGTAGCTTCTATTAAAGGTGATACATCTAATATAATATTTGAAAATTATTATAATGGTGAGGAAGGCCCAATACAACAATATACATATGAATAGATAAATAAACATCCAGCTTGTTAGGAGATTCATTGGAAAACTCTTCCTGGCATTATGCTACGCATTCAGTCAGTCACAAAGATGTTACAAACCAGTGCAAAATTAAAAGGAAATGTTGAACAATATGCCTTAAGTTCTTTCTGGAATATGTCTATGTTTGACTGAGCACGGAAAGTGCCAGGAAGAGAGTTCCAAAGAGTTGGTGCAGCACATTCAAACGACCTGTCACCGAAAGATTTTGCGAGGCAGATCTGAGTGATCTGGTTGGTAGATATTGGGCTATAAACTCGGATAGGTAAGTAGGAGCAAGGCCATGGATTGCTTCAAAGTGGCATGTTCCCCGTATTCCAGAGGGCGTTCAAAATACGTACCCGCTGGCGGACGGTGCTAGCTGCCTATTGACACCAACAGAATACGGCTCTTACGCAGATGGCATGTTCCGAATGCCCGCACAATGCCGATTTTCGTATACATGTGCCGAAGTAATACAAATTGCAGTTCGGTTCTAATGCCTTGGTCACAAATACCCTTACGGGCTGCTTGGTCGATGGTCTTGTCCAAGATTTTTTCTAACATCGTACGAAACCCTCTCTTCGTAAGGCGGCCATACGAACGCCGTAATTACATCGTAAGAACCACGCAAGATCTACGTACATTTCTTAGGGTCGAGGGACAATTCTAGAAGCTTCAAATTATTACGATGACCGTAAGAACGCCTCAAGTTGTTCAAAGAGGGCTCCTACGGCGTTCGTACGTAAGAACGCCTTACGAGCGGAGATTCTTATGGTATTCGTTCGAATGACTCCTGGCGTTCGTTAGACGTTCGTAAGGTGCTCGTAAGGTGTACGTACACAATTTATGCAAATTTTGAGTTTTAACGGTTATAAAGCCTCTCTCTGTTCATAGTGTTCGTCGAGGGTGCATCTCCTGTCGAAGAAATATGGGACCAAAGGGGAAATCTGTTAGAGGGAAGAGAGGGAAGGGAAACAAACTTAAGGAAAGAGATGAGGAGGAAGGAGAAAGAGGAGGAGAGCAGCAACAACAATATCAAGCAGAGGCGCCGGAAGTGGAGGGGGAGGGGGAGGGGGGCAGGGGGGCATTCGCCCCCCTCCAACCCCCCTTTAAAAAAGCAGTAAAGGAACAAAGATGATTTGTATTTTTTAACCAAAAAGAACATACAAAAGAACAAAATCTGAATTGAATCACATATCAATTATATTCGATTCAAAGAAAAGAAAAATTAATAGGGATTAAATGTCGTATACATTCCGCTTGCTCCTACATTTTATCAATGGAGGTTTTTATAATATATGCGATTTGCGCATATCGTGGAAATATTGTAAGAGGATGGGAAAGTGTTTTTTTTTATTTTTTATTATAGTGGTGAGAAGACATGAGCCCCTGAACACTGGCGTACTTATGGGCGGGGAGTATTTTTAATTCGATACCAGTGATTTACAAACGTTGCTGAAATGACATGATTTTCCGGTATTTTTTCTCATTTTTTTTGCAAATCATAACTTTTTATGCGTTTGTTTGAAAACTACTAATTCCCAAAGTAACAGCTAGGCATAAAAATATGCTTATTTAGAAGCCTTCATGTCAGGGCCTGCAGAACGGCGGGGCTCGGGGCTCGAGCCCCCCTCACTTTTTTTAAAAAAGAGGAAAGGAAAGAAAGAGAGAGAACAAAATGTGTGACCTACCAATGCCACAAATGAGATATCAAAATATGCTCATCTGACCGTAATTAGATGCCGAAAACCTTTGAGCTTCCAGGGGCTCTGGCCCCTGAACCCCAACAAGGGCTCTAAGACAGCCCCCTGGATGCTCATCTGACCGTACTTTAATACCCAAAACCTTTGAGCTTCCAGGGGCTCTGCCCCCTGGACCTCACCAAGGGCCCTAAGGTGGGCCCCTGGATGCTCATCTGACCGTAATTGAATACCTAAAACCCCTGAGCTTCCGTGGGCTCTGCTCCCTGGAACCCCCGACAATTAGTGACCTGCCAGTGACACAAATAAGGTATCTAAATATGCTTATCTGACCCCAATTTAATGCCTAAAAACCATGAGCTTCCGGGCGCTTAGTCCCTTGACCCCCACCGGTGCAAAGCCCCCCTGACCCCACGCCAATTTACGCTACGCTCGCTAAACTCTGACCTGATCGTTAATACTCCACTTTGAAAAATGTTCCGTGGGGCCTGCATGTAACATGTAGGCCTAGTGATGCAAATTTTCCTTCGGCCCTTCCCCCCCTCCTCCAAACGATTTTGCTCATTACGCCACTGGCCCTGGAAGGTGAGCCCCCTGGAATTTTTGCCACCTCAATCCAAAACTGCTTTCGGCGCGCTTGATATCAAGAATGATGGCCATATCGGAAGCGACCGGGAGGAGGCGGTGGAAGATGACGACGACGAGGAGGAGGGAGAACCATCAAGACGGCAGTTTGACGGCGATGAAACTAAGAAAGGAGAAGCAGTCCTATGACTTTGATGCCACCACAGAGCAAAACCTTGTTGACTTCTTCGGTTAACATGACTGCTTTTATAATAAAGGAAGTAACAGATATGCTAACAGCAAGTTCAAGAAACATTTTATGGAGTTGCAGTTGCAGTTGTAGTCTTCTTGGTAATACTGTCATCGTGTAATATCAAACTTTCAACAGTCATAGAATTTTCGACAGTATACGGCAGCGTTTTTTTTGCAACCCGACCAAATAGGTTTTTTTTTGTAAGATCTTCTTACGAATGACTTGTGAATGCCGTGAGTTAAACGTACGAACACCTTGCGAGAACAAAACTCATAAGATTGGCGTAAGTCTGACGTAAGAAGAACACAAGGCGTTCTTACGAAAAACGTACGAACTCTGGGGCCATTGTATAACCGAAAATCACTTCGTTTCTCAAGAAGGTCTTGAGTTGTTCTTGCGAATTAAACGGCGTTCGTACGAACTCCGTAAGAAGGACGTAAGAAACTATGCACCATCTGCGAATCTCTACGAACTCTGAAATTCGTAGGAACAGGGAGATTCGTACGAACGAATCGTTCGTACGAACATTTGTGACCGTAGCATAAGATTCGCTGCTGTTTCTGCCCATTTTCGTGACGTCAGAATCGGCAGCGATCAGCTGGCTTGACGAAGGCAGGCCAGGCCGCGCGTACATTGATTGACAGCTGTATGCAAATTAGAAGTCGATCTTCGGAACCAAGATGGCGATGACTAGAGCAGCGATAACTACAATGGCGGGAACGTGCCCCTTTAAATGTGAGCAGGATAACTTTGTAGTGGATGCGTGCGGGAATAGGTAACCGATGGAGCTCCTTTAAGATGGGAGTGATGTGATTGTATTTACTTGACATAGATACAAGACGGGCGGCAGAGTTCTGACATCACTGATGTCATAGGAAAATGTGGGTCAAATTAATGTACTAAACATAAAATAGCAAACAAAAAGCGAGTCGACCAAATGCTGCATGTCACAGTGACCTTGCTGGCTCGCTGCGTGGTCTAATCCCTTCTGACTTAAGTAGTAAAGCCTGCCTTTAACACACATTTTTCAACATAATCCCGTACTGTGATTTGGTGTATCGGGCCTTCAATCAATTATATGATGGAAGTCATGTCATACCTGTAGGCACTGATTTGATATATAAATGTTGAGGTTTTCATGAGAATGCATTTGAACTGAAGCTCGTCCAACCGAGAGGATACACTTTAGTGGTAGAATTGAGAGTCGGTGAGTTGCAAGACACCAATTTGTTCGAGGTATGTACTTTTAAATATAAGGAAAACCTATTCACATGGCATACATGAATTAATGTTTTGTTTTACCAAATCATATTTGAAACTCTAAATATATTTCTAAAAAGCCTACAATCATCTTAAATGTATACAAGTGCTCTTTGTTGCTAAAGTGTAATATCTGCTTTAAATCGTTGGTAGGTATCGTTCGTGCATATTTCCTTATTCTTATTCCAGAGTAATACCATAACCATGTTTTTCCCTATTTTATATACAATCATAACATCATGAAAACATATGGTAAGCGCTGTCGTCCACTAGTCCTTAGTAGAGGTTTCGTGGTCTAGTGGATATGTCAACGGACTGTGGATCACATGGTTCGCGGTTCAAGTCCCACATCGGTACTAATGTCCGTTGGCAAGACTTTAATCTACATTTGCCACTCTCCACCCAGGTGTTAAATAGATACCCGGTAGGATTTGAATGTTAATGTGGTTGGTGTGCGCTAGCCTTGTAAATTGGTGCCCGGCGGAATACTCCACAGGAAGCGGAGCGCGTGGACTACCATGTATTGATAAGCAATTGAATACAATGATCGGGGTGATGATAATTACAATGTAGCGCGCTTAGAAACGTAGTATCAAGCGCTATACAAATGTGACTTTATTCATATAATTATTTTATATTTCTGCAGATGGAGTTATCTTTCTTCGTTATCTTCGTTATATTAAACCAACACAGCCCAGTGACTGCTAATCTAGGTGAGTATTTGATGGGTTTCTTCTTATCACCTTTCTTTCATCCACATATTTCTATCACGTTGATTTTGTGTGTGCCTCGATCGGGACGTTATTAACATTCAATCGTCAAAATATAGTGGTGAAAACAAATAAAAGCCAATTACAGTATTGTAAAGTAACAATACATAGTTTTTGTTCACAATATAATATTTTACTACTTATTATCTAAATTGTTTTTTACAAACTTTCCCGGCGATCTTTTGTCTGGATTTTTGAGCTCCTTGTATAATAGTAACATATCATCCATCAAATTCTGTAATTAATTCTTTATTATGACCTGCTATATCGTTCTTCTACTCATTATTTTGGATTTCAGAAAAGGCTAAAAATATACAGGAAAAAACAAATAACAATATACCAATATGACATATAAAATACCTTGCATGTAGGATAAGGGAGAAAAGCCCTTATATAATTATGTGAACTTCAACTATTTGACCAAATGATGGTTTGATATTTCTTGCGACCGATCGTTATAAGCAACTGATTTTTTAATTTTTTTTTTACTTGAGCGAATCAACCGAGAAGTGTATAAATGGCATGAAAACGTAATCTGCGAAACTTAACCTAAATATGTGATCATTATTTGATCAATCACGCCCACCCTCTTCCTCGCTGTGCCCAAAATCCTTTCATATATCTTCCGTCCACCTCTTCTTCCCATTCTCGTCTCCATGTCTCTCTCTCTCTTTTATTTGCAGCTTGTGAATCTGATCAAAGCGAGAATGACGGGTCCTGTTATTATTTCTCAGAAAGCGAGTCAAACTTCGCCACGTCAAAATCGTCCTGCGAGGACCTTGGAATGCATCTTGTCTCCATAGGATCACAGGAAGAACAAAACTTCATGCAGAGTAGCATATCATCTGGTAATAAAGAGCTTTGGATAGGTTTATCCCGACTGACCTGGATAGATGGCTCAAGCTTGGACTACAACAATTTCGCAAACGGTGAATACGACAATTACCTCGCATCTCAGATCTTTGATGACGGAGGAATTTGTTTCGAAATGACAGGACTACAATCTCAATGGTTTGACAGCAGCTGTTCCGGGGCGTCCTATTACATTTGTGAAAATGAAATAGAAGACAATGCCGGTACGTACAGAAAATTGAGTATAAACTAAGGATTTGTTTTCAGTACGGTGAGGGGCTTCGTTTTCTAAGTCTGTAAAAGGCAAAATATTTTTTTTTTCTTCTACCAGAATAAAATCGTTAAAATCACTTATGTCCCTTATCGTAAGATTGTTGCATTAGGAGTGCACAAACAAAGACAAAGAACAGTTTTACTAGAAAAGACGTTTCCTGACAAACAGTTCCATTGTTTATTGCTGACGTCACAAACAGTTCTCCTTTTCCCGGTAGAAAGAAAACTATAACAAGAAAACAGTGCCGGTACGTACAGAAAATTAAGTAGAAACTATTGATTTTCAGTACGGTGAGGGTCTTCATTTTCTAAGTCTGTAAAAGGCATAATGTAATTTTTTTTCTCTACCGGAGTAAAATCGATAAAATGTATTATGTCCCTAATCGTAAGATTGATACATTAGGAGAGTACAAAAAAAGAAAAAGAATAGTTTTACTAGAAAAGACGTTTCCTGCCGACAAGTTCCATTGTTTATTGCTGACGTCACGAGCAGTTCACCTTTTCCCGTTAAAAAGAAAAGTATGTGTCCCTCCCCCCCCCCCGCTCCCACTGTTAAAATCCAGCGAGCGTACGGGAGTTCAAATGCCCCCGCGCGGCCAACTCCCACGGTGTCATGACGCTCAAGCCGTGCAATTTACGCCGTGCAGTAATTGCAATACACTACTGCAGTACAGTCTTGTATAGCGCCAGCTATAAATATATATTTGCAGGGATTCATTTGTTTTATTTGAGCCGTGCACTTTTCTTGTATTTCTTTTATGATGTGAATGTTATTACAGAAGTGTACAAGGAATAATACAGATGGAAGGGATATAAAATAAATATACAATGACCCATTCTCGGAACAAACTATTCGCACTCATTATAGTGTTCCTTCGATGCGAATAGTTTCAGGTATATCCTCGAGTGTCATTTTGTATGATCAAACATCATACTATACTGAATTCAGTTCTACCCCTCCCGCGCGAAGCGCCGAAGTTTTGAGGTTTCATTAATTTATTAGAGAAAGGAGACGCTTCGTTATACCGTTTTCGACTCTTAATAAGCCCTAATTGTTTAAATTCACTTTCCCCCTGTAGCGCGAAGCGCGGAAGTTTTGACGTTTCCTTAAATTATTAGAGAAAGCAGACGATTCGTTGTACTGTTCTCGACTCTTAATCCTTATCTGAATTCAGTTTCCCCCCTCCCGCACGAGTCGCGGAAGCTTAGACGTTTCCTTAAATTATTAGAGAAAGAAGACGATCCGT